TTACCCAGCTGGGTAATGAAACGTTTGCAAGAAAAGAACCAAGCTCAGAGAACCTCAAGGACTCCACAACTGCATGGTGCCACCCACCCAAGTTACCATCAGTACTAAGAATCTGGATCCACCAATGGCTTACTATAAGAAGGTAGTTTCTAGCTCATTTAAAATTCCAAATAAACGGTGGACTAGCCATTAGTAATGTATGAAAACACTAATACAAAAATTAACATAGAGATGCTCATTATGGAGCTGAAGAAGGGGATTAGGACAGGGGAAAAGAACATCAAGAAAATCAAATCATTTCTTAAGAAGCCAGAATGAGAAAGAAATAATTTCCTATGAGCTAGAAGAATTGTCTACATTAAATATCATTTTACACTTGACATGTTCCTAGGCAGTTGTGCTAGCAGGGAATCCCAAAGAAGAAACAACCATCTCTCGCTGTTTGATGATACCAAAAATTAACGATGTTAACAATTGTAGTATATCAGATCCTTAAGAAAGGGATATATTGCCCTCCAGTGAGTTGGAGTACATAATTAATTAAGGTAGGTAGGCCCAGGATTTTCAATGGCTAGTACTCAAGACATTAAATAGTAAAGTAAAACTTTAAAAACCAATAAAAGAAAAATAATATTTCAATCTTCTTGAAAAATGCATCAATGAACTTAGCACAAATTATCAGTAGTCAGCTTATACACCAATAGACTACCTAAAAATGCTTTGCTTGCTGGCATAAGAGTAAAAAGAGGGAGCTAATTGTGACCTTCCCTGGAAGGGGTATTAGGACCTAATAATTTAAAGGAATTAATAGAGTCAATAGAGTTTCTGCAGCTTATAGACTATAGCATTATCTCCAAATCTCTGAACATATCCAATACCTACAGATGGATTTTATGGAAGAGCTTAGCGATGCCTTGGTGGGTCCAGTCTTTCCCAAAATGTGGCAAGATATGCCCTAGAGCATCAGACCTGAAGAGAAGAAAAAAATATGCATCTAACTGAACCCCGTGATGAACTCTGCACAATGTAGCTCAAGCTGCAAATTGTCCTATAAGTGAAGCAACAGTGATAGCAGAAAGTTCATAACTGGACATGCAACAACTTGTTTCAAGATATCCTATTCTAACAGGAGTGTTTTTGTTCTGGGTTTCAGCCCTCTAGAAGCTTAAGCAAGCCAGTTCCCCACTTCATTTTGTTTTTGTTCTTTCCCAAAATGGCCATTTTGCTTAGTCCATATAAGCTATGTGTTTTGAGTAGAGGTGGGTTGGTCCCTTTGATGTTTTTTTTTAACTTTCATAAATCCTCATGCCAGTCTCGTTTTCTCTGCAATACTTGCCATGCCCCAGCTGGACTCAAGACATCCATTGCTATCTTTTTCCTTCCACTGCCTAGAGCAGTGTTTCTCAATCTTGGCAACTTTAAGATGTATGGACTTCAACTTCCAGAATTCCCCAGCCAGCATGTCCAGACATCACAAAGTTACCAAGGATGAGCAACACTGGCCTAGATTTTCAGCATTCCGTTCCTGTTATCTTTCTGCAGGCATTGGTGAGATATATCTACTCCTTTCTCCCACTCTAGCAATTGCAACCACCTGTAACCACATTCACGGTTACTGGAAAAAGTGCTCAGTTGCAAAATTGCTAGCATGCTATCCTTTCATCATCATAGCTTATAAAAAAGACTATTAAATGCTGGAGGAAAACAGGCTTTGTAGCTGGAAAGCTTCCGCTCATAGCAACCATTCACATATTTGTTGTAAAATATGTGAGGATGGCATATGTGGATATGTGCATGCTGCCAGTGTTATAGATATAGATACAGAGTTATATAGATTAGATATAGATATAGATATAGATATGATATAAATATATAGATTAGATATACAGATATAGATAGAGATAAGATAGAGATAGAGATATATAGTCTAGTATTATAGGAAGCAATGTCAGTGGGCATCTACCTGGTGATGGTGCCATCAATATCAGAGATTACCACCTTGTCATACCAATTCCATAAGTAAATGTTAGCTTCACAACGACATGTGCCCTGGTACTGAGTGGTTACACTGAATACTACCTCATTGGGCCCATCTCTCAGGTTCAGCTTTTTCTACAGCAAAAGTGGAGTAAAAAGAGTTACAATACACTTATTTAGAATGTGACATTTGCCAGAACTGTTTTGTTACTTATGCATCCAATTCAATTTCTATTCAGAAGTAAGTGCCATAACATTCAGTAGTTTGCATTCAGATAAATGTGAACACAAGGATAAATACACCCTTCCTTCTTTCTCTGCACTCCAAACAACTAGACGTCATATAGGAAGTCATTTATCTGTCCCAATTATGATTCTCTCAGATTTTTGCAAATCCTTCAAACTATTTGGAAAAGTGAGTCTATTATACCAGGAATTCTTCTTTGCTGCTCAAAAATTTATTGGTATTTTGCAAGGTCACAATCCAGCCAAAATTAAGGCTTTTAAATTATCTTAATTTTAATGTATTAAGAGCATACTAATATCATTTCCAATTAAAATTGATGTTCATATTTGGACAAATGGTTTCATGCCCCTAGTGATTATGTACTTTTCACTGAAAATAGATTAAACAAAATGGTTCATCTTAAAAAGGACTTTTATGAATTTTCTATATTATCTCTAATTTCTTAATAAACTGTGAGCTTTAAAATAGAAATACAGACATTTCTTTTAGCCAGATTTTTAAAAAGTAGAGATGTACATCCACTTATACTTTGTAAATTTAAGCATTGTAGTAGGGTTCAGTTAGTGCAGACCTGTGTTACCTGTGTCCTATTTCCAAAGCACTGAACAGAGCCTTCAGAATATTACAAAACTAGTATTAGATTTTAATATTTAATTATTATTTTTAACTGCAATTAAATCAGATTTAAATTTGGCCCTGCTTCTTTGTTTTGGCTGTGGCAAAATCTGCCATTCAGATACGGCTGCAAATTATGCACACCTAAATTATTTTATTTCGTACTTCATTGATATCCTCCCCTTCCTATAAGACCTCAAAGTGACTTACATGGAGTCATGATTTATTTTATCTGCATGATGCAACTTGATGTGGTAGGTTAGGCTAAGAGAAAGTGACTGGCTCAATGTTCCCCAGTGAGCATCATAATTGACTGAGGACTTGTACTTGGATTTCTGTGGTCTCAATCCAATGTTCTACAAACTGGAGAGCTGGAGTGATGTAGTAGTTGGAGAAGATCTAGGGAGATTCAGGTTCCACCCTCACCCATGGAAACTCACTGGTGACTTGAGTTTGGGCTAGTCACTTTCTCTCAAGCCAATCTATCTCACAGGATTGGAGAAAAATTGGAAGACTTATAAACACTACCTTGAGCTATTGGAACAAAAAGAAATGTACATTTTACAAATAAATAAAATATAAATAAACCACTATACCATTCTGGAAAATAATTATTGATGATGAATTAACAGAGAGAGGCTTGGCCCACAAAACTTCATCACCTACTCATATTTTCAACTACACATCCAAATGCCCAGCCTGCCCCAACCATTTCTTAACTTCTAAGGGCTAAAGTCTGGGCTTATTTTCAATATGCAACTCATACTGCGAGCTTTGAACTTTAACTGCAAAGTCCATCTGGGAGGAATGCCAGTGAGGCACTGTGTTTTGGAGGCTTCTCTCTGAACAGAAAGTTCTCTTCTGAATCAAACAGGAATATATGGAAAAGAATGTTCAAAGGTACATACAATTTGATCAGAAGAAAGTCTTAAGGATTTCTTGTAAGTTGGAAGAAATTTCTGTGTAATAGCATCTGGTATGAATCTGTCTCCTTGACGTGAGGATACAGCATCATCATCACTGGATGAATCATTTCCCCTCCTATGGTTCACAGGAGCAAAATAAATTGTCAACATAAAAGAGGATAAAGGACAAGAAATATGGGCTAAATCCCATTATGTGGAATAACGCCCACTGAGTAAATAAATCCTATATAATACCTATGACTTTTAAAGGAATCAGGGTTATCACCTATGTTGCTACCACAACTGATATCTTGCCAAATGTATTTATTGCACCATTTATAAACTACCTCATCCAAACAACCTTAGGCCATTCAATGCAAAATAATACAACATAGTTCCATGACATCTCTAATATTCCAAAGATCAAAGATTGGCAACTGACATAATCCCAGATCTAACAGGGAGGAACAGGGTCCAGTAGATCAGCTCCTAACCCTGCACACTAAATATAAGGTAACTCTCCTTCAAATCAGACTTAACTGCTAGTGATTTCATAGATATATCCATGTTGTTTTCTTGGTAACAATAAGGAGGTAGTTTACTGCTGCCTTTTTCATTTTTTTTAAAAAAATATTTCCAGTGTAGCCTACAGCCCTGTGATTTCCAATTGACCTTCCATCCAGAAGATCATCAGGTCAGGCCCTGCTTATTTTTTCAAGTTCAGCTAAAAATGGCTAGGCACTGTACCTAATTAGGCATACACAGCTCTTCCTTAATGTCTGGTGAACTTTTGTAGAGTAGGGGCTTTGCACATATAGAGGTTTCTATATGAATAAGACTGGTTTAATTTGACACCCAGTACAACTTTCCACATTTTTAAACAGTAAGCCTCAGAAAGATAAAATTTTGTTTTCCAGTGATCATGAAAACTAACATGGCAGCTAACAACAGGAACTGAATTTATGTTCTATACTGGTTTTAAAGCTTTAAGACAAATGGATAGTAAACCAATTGCAGGATTAAACAGTAAAGAGGATTGAGTGATTTTTCCCAATTTCTTCAATAATGCTTGACTAAAATGAAAAAATAACGATAACGAGTACCAATTTGCTTAGAATCCCTCAAGCACAACTGTAATGTAAGTATAGTGTAAATGTCACATATAGACAGTTTTCCTGGTTAATTCTTTTTTTATAGTAATGTTATAAAAAATTACAATTTACAACAATAAAAATTAATATAAACAAAAAAAGAAAAAAAGAAAAAGAAAAAAATAGAAGGCGCAGAAAAGAAAAAAAGAAAAAAATAGAAAGAAAAATAGAAAAGAAAGAAAAAATAAGAATGTAGTAAAGAAAAAGAAAAGAAATATATAAAGAAGTGACTTCCCCCTTCACCACTACAAGTATAAAAAAACTTAGTAACTTATCACCTAAGAAAAAGAAAAAAATAGAAGGCGCAGAAAAGAAAAAAAGAAAAAAATAGAAAGAAAAATAGAAAAGAAAGAAAAAATAAGAATGTAGTAAAGAAAAAGAAAAGAAATATATAAAGAAGTGACTTCCCCCTTCACCACTACAAGTATAAAAAAACTTAGTAACTTATCACCTTCTCTTAAAATGCAATAAACAATATCTTCTTCCCATATCCCATTTCTTATCTATAAACGAATCCATAAAACCTCATTTCTGATGTCAGCAAAAGTCCATTACAGGCTACCAGAGATAACAACATATCTATTTTAACATTGAGCAAATAAACCAACTTTACATTCCTTCCTTTTACTTCTAACAATCTTGAACTTTAGTCCCTTTAAGTAATGTCGCAGAACTTGATTTCTTTTTATTTCTTCTTTGTTCCTTCTCACAAAATTCTTCAGAGCTTTAATAAGCCTCTTTTGTAGATCCAATATAGGAAAATCATCTAGGTCATTCTCTTGGTTTGTTATTTGTATATCACTTTTAATTATTAAGACATCAGCTCAGCGTAACATCTTTTCCCATGTCATTCTCGTAGCCTGTCATTTTAAATCCACTTTCAAATCAGTCTCAATTATGTCAGATAATACATTGTCCTCTTCCATAACATCTTTTAAACATAGTCTATCTACAGACACTCTTAACATTAACTTCTGGGTCCATTGTTCAAAAAAATACTTCAGTATATCCAATGTTAAAATATCTTGCTTCATTATGTATTAGTAAGTCAAGTTTGAGTGTTCTCCTTTAATTGTAATTTTTAGTTCCTTCTAGTTCCCTCTAGTGTCCAATTTTTTAAGTCTTATCTTATGCTTTTTTTTTTTTTTAAGAACTCAAAACAAAAGCATTTTCCCATGGGAAGGATTCTTTACAATTAATTCCAAAATCTTATTTCAAATTTATCTGGAACCTTAGTCCATTTGTAACTTTCTA